CTCTGTTAGTGCATTAAAACATTCATCTGTTTTTGCGCTTTACTTGTGTGCAATATCATGTCCATGGCTCCCAGGAAAGTTAGGGATACCAACAGTAAAGCTAAGAGGAAAACTGTGAGAGCCACGATAGAGTTAAAGAAAGAAGTCATTGAGAAATTAGAATCAGACCATGCTTCTCTGAAAAACAACATGGCTAGGATGATATTTCAACAGTTGGGTTTTTTATAAGTAATTACAAATGGCTGGTGTCACACAAGGTGTGAAGTCATTACCCACGAAACAAAGAACACGCCATCAAAGAGGTTGAAAAGTTACTGTTAACTTGGGTAAGTCAGAAATAACTCCATGGCAATCGTGTATCTGAGACAGTGATAGGGGATAAAGCTAAAACCCTCCATTGTGACTCTATAAATGTAATGTTTTGGCCCAGAACCAATTATTTGGCTTACCATTATTTCTTATGGGAATATGTTCAGTTCTTGAACTTGTCGGTGTTTGAGCACAAATTTGGAACAAATTGAGTTTGACAACTGAGGCATCACTATCTATTGAGGCATCACTATAATATATCCTAGACAGTGTTTAGGTCTCAGCAAAAATGTATGGGAGTCTAAAATTTGCCTGGAACACTAGGATTAGTTAGGCAACCCATGAGATTTTTTTCGTTATATTCTTGTGAACAAAATTAATAAATAGCCTGTTATCAGACAACTCAATACTTTAATACCTGGCTGACTTACCCATTTAATATGTACTTATTAAGTGAATTCTATTATCTTGAATAAAATCTAAAATTAGTTCTTAGGCTAATTTATTTCAACTATGCTATCAATTATTAAGTCAGTACAGGAAATGTCGGCTCACCGTTTGTACTTTTGGAAATTAGAAAGATCAAAGGAATATGAAAACAGTAACCCTGATTATTTTGACTGTCAGAATAAAAAGGCTGCATCTAGATGAAAGTTAACAAAGATAACGATGTCTTCTGTTTGGATGAAAAAGACCTTGGTACAAGAACATGATTGGGATAATGTGACAGTCATAAGAAGCTACTATAATCTTCAGTGTTATTAGAAGAAACATGGTATGTACAACATGGTTGATGACAGTACCCATCTGTTCTACCCAGGTTATACCATACCTATTCTGATGGTCCTTTTAGTGTATAGAACACTTTAAAGAAGGCATCCAATGGAGAAAAAGAAAAAAACACTCAAGACATTAGGACATTGAAGGCTTGAGGTGAAAATACCTAATCAATAAGGAAGGAAATGATAATGCATATTCCAGGAAAATATAGAATTACTCAGGTATATGGGTAGGTAGTAGTTCGGGGGAACACACATGCTATTTGCAGCAAGGCTAATGGTCAGGCTATCATTATTATAAGTATATAATTCTAGATCTTTAGGTTTAGAGAAAATGTACTTTACAAGACCTCTCCAAAGTGTTGGAGAACAAGGATATCGCTTTGAAGACTAAGGTGTGCCTGACTCAAGCCAGGCCTTTTTCGATCACCTCACATGCATGTGAAAGTTGGCATTGAGTGAGATCAAAGAAGAACCAATGACTATGAATTATGGTGTTGGCAAAGAATATTGAAAGGGCCATGGGTGGTCAGAAGAATAGAAAACACTGTCTTGAAGAAGGAGAGTCAGGATGGTTTTTAGAAGCAAGGATGGCAAAGACACTTGATAAGATGGACCGACGCAGTGGCTACAGCAATGGGCTCAAACATAACAATGTGAGGATGGTGTAGAACTGGGCAGTGACTTGTTCTCGTGTGCATTAGCTACATAGGGTCAGACCTGACTTCCTGGCACCTAATGACATCAGGATGAGACTTGGAAACAAGGAATGGAAACTTCAAAGTAGCCCTCAGAAAGACTTATGCTCACCTTTAATTTTGTTTTCTTATTTGATCTAGCTAATTATTTGTCTAGTATGGTATAAGGTGTCATCAAATTTAATGTTAATTGGGATGCTCTTTTAAAGACCCTTTTGAAATCTGAGATGTTATAATTTTGTGACCAGAGAACTTAATGAAGTTATTCAAGGGATAAAATGTTTTCAATGACTTTGAATTTGGTTCCACATGTGTAGGTATGCCACCTTGCGTATTCAGACCACTCTTTCATCCCTAGAGCTGGCATGGAGGCTTCAGATCAGGGAAGTGAAAAACTCGGGCCTTTCCGGAGAAAGTGCCACCCCCTCACTCTCCCACCCCCACATCTCTGGTTAGAATGTATGTCTTTGAGAATCTGCAAACTGGACAGCAGGAAAGACTTGGGTATTACCAAGGCATTGAATAGTAGACTTCTGTAGAAAAACACAGAATCAAGGTTTGCAAAAGAAGAACATTTAGAATTATTCCTTTTATTTTGGCAGAATTTCTATGGATCCAGGTTTTTTTCTATGGAGCCACTAAGTCAGCCACAATATACACTTTTAAATATTGGGAATATTATTTTGCCTCACATTATTAGAACTATGTGAGCATGTAAATGCTTCCAGTTAGTTACTGGCACAAATTAGTTCTACGTCCATGTTCTCCCCTCTGACAGTGCCCCTCACTGAACACTTTACTGCTGCTCCTGCTGTTAGTACCTTACATCAATTCCAACTCATCATGGTTCCATGTGACAGAATGGAACTTCCCATATAGTCTTCGAGGCTGTACCCATCCATCATCCCAAGTAAAGATGGGGCACTCTGCTCCCAGCAAAGACTACAGATTTGGAAACTCGATAGGGCAGTTCTACTCTGTCCTCCAGGCCTCGAGGAGTTGAAATCGACAGCATGGGGTGAGTTTGGGATTTTGGTTTCGGTGATCTTTATGGAAACCCATCACCAGGTCTTTGTCTTGTGGAGTCACATGGTGGGTACAAGCCTTTCTGTTTTCTTTGTCTTATGGAGTCACATGGTGGGTACAAGCCTTTCTGTTTGCGGCCGCATGCTTGACTGATGCACCTCAGTGCATACTGCCTTGTCAGAACACACTGCAGCCCCAAATATATTCTTCCTCATTTATTGATTTTTGTTGCTGTTCAGAACATATCCAGAGGAACACACACCAACTCGAGTTTCTACGCATGCTCTGAGTTGTACTCCCAAGCTCACCCTGAAGTTTTTGAGTCATTCCTTTATCAGTACCATCAATTCACTGGCCCCTGCGATTTTGTGTTGCCACTGTCAATTGAATCCCATACTGATAGACCATTAAAGAGCACAATGTTCAGAGCAGACACTTTATACTTTTGAGGCTGATATTTTTTTAGATGACTTTAAGGGATGTTTTTGGTTTAAAGTATAAAGTTAAGGTTTACCCTAGGGTAAGATTTTTGAAAGTTAAATTACTTTTAAGCAAACATTTTTTCATCAAACATTAGATCCCTATTTCGCAATAATCCATCTTCTCTTTCAGAAAACATGCAATAAAATTAATTCTTCTTTCAGACTTTTCCCATCTTCTCTACGTCTGCAGGGTTTCTCGATTTGGCAGGAGCGGTAGGAAGGAATACAGTGCTGGGACCTGTGTCAGGAATGAGTGCAGACTCCATCCATAGAGCCAAGGTTTCCCTCCCGGCCTTGCATCCTCACAGTGTTCCCAGAGAGCCATACAGGGAAACAAACCTGGGTTCAGCATTTACCTGATGACAGGCTCGGTGCCTGCTATGGGGCACACAGTGGAACTAATAAGGAATAACCCCTGCCCTCTGAAACCAGCTGACTCAAAACAAGTACACACATGCCCTGAAAAGAGCGCGGTTATTTCCAGATCAGAGAGAGACAAGGAAGAGGATCAAGTTCATCTGAACTGGTGATGAACTCCCCAAACGCACTGACATGAGGTTGCTTCCCACTCACAGCTCCCCTCTAGGACAAGGTAGAACCGTCCCCATGGGGCTCTGAGCCTGTCATTCTTGGTGGGAGTAGAAAGCCACATGTTCTCCCTTGGATGATGCAGGATGGATAAAAACATGAGATGATAGAAATGGAGAGGGGCTCCGGGAAGGCATTGTTATCTTCGCTTTGAAGACAAAGAACTTGAAATCAAAGCAGTCAACTAACTGGCTTCTGTTCTCACAGGAAGCTAAAGTGGTGTGTCAGTGTAAATCTGTAAGAGCCCTAGGCCCTCACAATAGTCCTTACTTGCATGGTGTAGGAAAAATAAAATGTGCTAAGTGACCAGTACAGAGAAGGTGCTTAAAAGAGGACAGTGGTCATTTCTCAGGGCAATTTAACTCAGGGACGGTTCACTGTGATGGAACATGCCTTCCCTGTCCCCAGAGTTGATACTTGGGGGAGAGTGAGGTGAATTTAGGACAATTTAAAACTATCCAAGTCAATTAAAGCCCAGTGTGATAAGCTCTGGGCCTGAGCAACTAGATGAAAGGCCCACATTTATAACAAGGAGGAAATGCAAAGTGATCCAAACCTTTGGATTGTGCAGTTTGGCTTGCCCCTCGCCTCACACACACTGAACTCCTCTTCCAAAAAGTCCGTGGTCTGAAAAAGCACGTGCAGAAAGTTCCTCTTTATCTACTGTCCACGCTGGCTGCCACAGCTATGGCTGGTCTCTGCATTTGGGGATTACGTAATGCTCCCTTTAATGTCAGTTGGGAGAAAGATGAGGCTTTCTACTCCCCAAAATACTTACAGTCTCCGGATTCCACAGGGGCAAGTCTGCCCTGTCGTGTAAGACTTGGAATCGACTCTCGGCAGTGAGTTTTGAGTTGGTTCATGTCCGTTTGTTCAAATGCTCTCTCATCAAATGTTCCTGGGGCTTCGACTTGAAGAAAGAAACGTTTTTTTCTCTAATCTGTGAACAGGATACGTTTTGATGTCAAAATAAACCATCTGCTTGTACAACTGTTTCTAATTACTTCTCTGCCTGGACTCTCCATCAGAGGGGTTTGCCACCAGCACCCGCCCAGAGCTGTGCCGCTGCCCAGATCCGCACAGGCAGTTCATCAAAGCACTTGCAGCTCGGAGGAGAGGTCTGCATCCGCAAGCCTGGGTGTCCCTGGGTCTGGCTGGCTGGCCCTCTGCGGGTGGCACCTCGCTTCCCAAGGCCTCCCTCCTCCACTCCACCCTGCCGAAGGATAGCTCGCCCCACAGCCCAGGAGTGCGGCATGCTTCCTCCAGGGTCCAGGAACGTCTTGCTGCTGGCGGCCTCCCTTCTCTTTGCTGGGCTGTCAGCTCTTCCTCAAAGCTTCTCGCCATCGCTGAGGTAAGTTTGGTCTCTGGTTCTTTCAGACAGACGTGCCCGGCGGTGGCTGCGCGTGGCAGGGCTCGGACGGGCAGGGCTCCTAGCTGCTGTAAGCCAAAAGTAGTTTCTAAGGTGGACCTTTTCAACCTGCTCCTATCCCTTGCCTTATAGCCACATTCTATGTCGCTGGACAGCTGCCCTTTTACTTCCTCTTCAGGAAACCGTCATGGTTGAATAAATACACCATTTCCTCTGATGCAAATACAGATTAGGAGTTCCAGCCTTGGAATGAAGGCAGTTCTAAAAGTGCTTGTACATTCTCATGAACTACAAGACACTATTATCTCTTCGTCAAATACTGTAAGAGTTTGAAAAGGACTTTGAATTACATCATATTAGCGAAGCTTTTGAAAGTCTAGTTTGTATGAAATCCTTAACGAAAACTAGAAAAAAAAACATATCCCTTGCTACTACAACACACATAACTCTTTTTCCCCATCTGTTCTTTTGCATAAAATAACTGCCCCCTGGCCATAAATAGCAGTGGGGCTTTTATTAATTTATTTAGAGAGAACTGAAAAGGTAAGTCAGATAAGTGTTGGGATTGATTTGTATTTCATTTAAATGCACTTATATGATTCAGTGGCAAATCACGAAGGGACCGTGCTGAGTCATCTCTGCTCCTCTACAGGACCATCTTATTTCTAGGTGGTCGGGTCACTGCTTACGACAGTGCCATGGTTAAGCGCTGAATTACTACCCTAAAGGTCGCAGGTTCAAATCTCCCCCGCAGGCTCCATGGGAGGCCGCCCTGGGAATCCGTTCGTTGGCAGATGAAACCACGCCAAACCCATTTTTGCGGAGTTGATTCTGACTCAGAGTAGAACGGTCCTCACAAAGTTTCCAAGTCTCGGGATCTTTTTATAAGCACACTGCCACATCTTCTCCCACAGCATGGCTGGAAGCTTCCAACCGCCGATCTTTCCCATTGCCCTCGTTCCCTTAACCACTGCGCCACCAGGGCTCCTGGTACAGATGCCAGTCCAGAAAACCCAATGGGGCAGTTCGCTTCAGTCAAGAGCGCTATACATTGAAATCAGCTAGACAGTACATTCTAATAGTGGGTCACTGCTTAGACATTTGGGGTCAAGGTCATACGCTGTTAATGCAGGTGGGTGTTGTCTGTTGCCTGGGGAGGGGGGTGGGGAGCAGTCCTTTCTAGAAACCTACTCAGTGAGCAGAGAAATGAGGGGACTCATTTAGGGGAGAAATAAAGGAGGAACAGGGGATTCACAGCAGTGGGAGCAGCGCCCTTGATTAAACCTGGTCTGGGTGTGGTGTTTGTCGCCCCTGCAGAAGCTGGTCGGGTGCCTCCTGCAGGCTGACCCGGGCAGAGTCGGACCGCCGCTGCAGGGCCCCTGGGCAGCCCCCCGGGAGCGTGCTGTGCCATGGCCGGGGCCGATGTGACTGTGGAGTTTGCATCTGTCATGTCTCCGAACCAGGCATGTACTTTGGGCCGTTCTGTGAGTGCCACGAGTGGGTGTGCGAGACCTATGACGGGAAGACCTGTGCAGGTAAGGGTGAGGCCTGGCTTCTCTCCTTCCAGTGCGACCCAGACACCAGCCCCTGTGCGCATCACAGCGAGCGCTCTGCCGCTCCCGAGATTTCTGCCTGCGCATCTGGGGTAAAGCGCGAGGGCCGACTTCTCTGCCCCTAATAATCAGACCGAACGCTCCGGCAATTGACAATGGTCCTAGGTTTCGCTAATTAATTTTGGAATTATTTATCATAATAATTTTATTCCCCCAAAGGTTCAAACTGGGAGCCCTCTTGGTGGAGTGGGTTACTTGTTAGGCTGCTAACAACAAGGTGAGCAGTTCAAAACCCACAGCCGCTCTGCTTGAGAAAGAGTAGATTTTCTACATTCAGAAGCAGTTACAGTCTCTGAATCCTACAGGGGCCCTTCCACCCTGCTGTATGGGGTCCCCATGAGTCACAACCGGTTTGATGATGGTGAGTGAGGGCCAAACTTTACAATGGGTGATATCTGTAGGATTCAGTCACTTCATTATTAGTCTCACTTGCCCCTAGGAGAATTCCTTATTACAGATCAACCTCCCAATTTCTCCCCGTATGATTTTTCTGGACACTGCTATCCCAATCTAGACCATTATTCATCATATTTGCTGTGGGTAGCCAGTATTTTATTTTTACTGTGGAAGCACGGTGGAATGGCATTTTCTTAAGGTTCAGAGAGACATATTGTGCCTATGAATGCTGACTTATTGTTCATCCTCAGGGTGGAGCTCCCAGGTGGGAGTGCAAACCAGAAAACTATAACCCGGAAGAATATTAATGGGCACCTAGTTACTTAGAGGACATTGCTTTTGTATTGTTTTCGCTGCTTGGAGTTTTGTGCTGCAAGGAAGCATGGTGTCTTGTGAGGGTGGCGTGAAAATGAATTCATTTGACTTGCACTTTTTTAAGGAGTGATCAGGAAAGGGTCACAATGCTTTTTCCTAGGGAACACCTCAAACCCTTTCCTAGTTACATACAGGCCTGTCGTTAACGTCTGTCCAAAGAGCCTCCACTAAGGCCTCGGGAATGGTGCAGAGATTCCGTTAGTGAAAGCACCACCCAAATGCCTGCCAACCACGGTTCGGAAATTTTGTAGGAAAAAAAAAATTAGCAGTTTATTTTTACCCACAATGGAGCTAAGAATAAGGCCTTAAACACTAACACCGAAAGATCATGAATGAGTTTATAGCAAAGAAAAAAAAAATCCTGTTTTTCTTGGCACCTGGGGCACAGAATCTTAGAGTGAGAATACTTAATATGCAAATTATTTGTCTGTGGAAAAAAGAGTCATAGAAGCCATGTGAAGGGGCACAGGTGCGTCTCTGTGGTTTGTTTACCCTGTGGAAACGGCGGCTCAGCCCTTTAAAAACAGAGTGCTATAGCTTGTTATTTTGTCTTCGTCTCACCAGCTGCGATTTTATTAAACGTCAGCCTTTCGAGTGAAAGCTAGATACGGTCTAATATTTCATTTCAAATCCAACCGCCACTGACTTCTCTGGCTGTTATTGCCTCTGGCAAGACCTCTTCAATATCACGAGTTCTTAACACAGTTTTTTTTCCAGAGCTTTCTTGTCATTTTTTGGAAAAGTAAGAGATAAAATGCAGCCTCTCCGGGGCAGAACTAGTTGAGAGTATCCTTGCATAAGAGTTCTTGTGGAAGAACCAATCTACAGGGGCTCCTTTCTCTTACGCAGGGAGCGCTGACAGTCCTGTGGGACAGTTTGCTACTGGGTATGGCTGACTCCCTTGTAACAGAGTTGCACGGCCTCAGTTTGCGGGGCTCGAATTTTACAGGGATTTTTTGGCCTCTGCGGAGTAGAAGGGGTGTTCAAACTGCTGATCTTTCCGTGAGCAGGTGGGCCCTTCACCATTCTGCTACTTGGACTCCTGCTGTGATATCTGAAAACGCACTCACTCCCGAGGAGTGGATTCAAACTCATAGCGATCTTATAGGCGAGGGTAGAATTGTACACAGTTAGTAGTTTCAAACTGCTCACCTGTGGTTGCCCGCTGAAGTGTGACCACTGTGCCACCATGGATCGTGCACTTTTTTCCCCCCTTCCATAGAAAATAACTGGTTCACTTATAGCATCCTAGTGACTGGATTCTTTCCTCCTGGACACAGGGTAGCACTGACTCACACTGGATTTGTTTCAAACTGTGAACATTTGTACAGACGTAGAAACATGTTTTCTCACAACTTTAAGGCTGCCTGAAAGAACAATACCCTAGCTACCATTTCTCAGCTCACTGATGAGTTGGAAGTTGGGGTCTCTTCTCTAGAATTTTGCACATAACACAGGCTCTGCGAACATTTTTGCCCATGTTTGCCAGACCACTGGGGAGAGCCATCACACACAGCATATGGGACCTTTGTCAGTTTGTTATGCTGCTTCAAAGTTTAGTTGGTCAGATTTCTTTTCAAGAATGGTTTCCATTTTATACTTAGTAAGGCTTGAACTGAGCAGATTGTCTATTTTGACATACGTGAATGAAAATGCACGGGGCGTTATCACTTGATAAGTCCAGTTAGGTTCTTCCCAGGGATGATGTAACTTCTAGATGTCTCCTTGGTAACCAGGAAGAAAACAAAATCTTGCTTTAGTTGTATATCATAGCATGACTGAAAGCATGTGATCTGTTGGAAAAAATCTAGGATTCAAATCCTAGCCCAGCAGTTAAATAACTTGAGAGCAATGGTTTAAGCAACCTGTGCCTTTGTTTCTTCCTTCGTAAAACAATCATCATAATACTGATCTTAAAGAACTGGTGTGGGATTGAATATGTGTAAGACTCTAGAATAGAACTGGAACAAAGTAAGAGCTCAATATGTATTGCTACATGTATGTAACAATATTGTTAGAGTGATGCAAAGAAGATCATGTATATATGGATAAGTATATATAGATGGATGGATGAGTCAATAGGACAATGGATTTGTAGAATGATAGACAAATAGATGACTTGTATTTGTTGGGCATTTAATGCAGTGAAAACAGTTTGGCTTTCTTAACGTGATTTGGGCCTGCTATTGATTCAGGACTCAGAAGGTCAAGCAAGGATAACTATTTTGGCCCTGTCTCAGAGCAGCTGTATTAGATACAGTATGCTCTTTTAAAGTTAAGTCCAGGGGGATTCCTGTACTGTGAATCATAAGAAACATACTTATTTTAGGTTGAAATTCTTGGAAGTGATTAAGATAAAAATATTGAGTTGTCTATTCCTTCCTCTGTCTACTTTTTCATAGAATATGATTGTCCATCAGACATTGATGGTAGAAAGATCTGATACAATGTGTGCTCCTACTGGATGTGATAACTAATGAATAAACCAACGATGGGGAAAGCGTCTTTGAGAGCTGAAAAGGGTTTGGTTGCATGAAAATCTTTCCAATGACATTTTAAAGTCATTCCGGGGAAAACCCTTGAACAGCGTTGATTAGGCTTAATGAGGATGCTGGTATCTTAAAAGTCTTTTTCTAATCACTTGGCAGTGTTAGAAGAGTTCCCATTTTAGTAACTGGGAAGAGTTCATTGGATTCATTTTAGCAAATATGTAACTGACTGTCTATGTGGTAGAGCCTCTGTTTGGTGTTGAAATAGATATAAAGACTAGGAATAGCTGGCAACTTGCAATTCTTTTAGAGGTTAAAAGAAATACCAAATAACTGTGATGCAATGCAGGGCATCATTAAAAAAAATATGAAGGCAAGAATTAAATACTGTAGTTAAAGTTTCTTGAGAAAGAAGTGGCATTCAACATAAGTCTTGAAGCATGAAATTTTATTTATTCAAAAAGTAGACAGTGTCCTATTGAATGATGAAGTATTTAAGCAGAGTAGTGCAGGAAAGCATGAGGGTCTGTTTTGGGACCAAACTGAAACCAAACTCATTGCCATGGTGTGGATGCTGACTCATAGCGACCCTATATGACAGAGCAGAACTGCCCCTTTGAGTTTCTGAAACTGCAACTCTACAAGAGTAGGAAGCCCCATCTTTCTGCAACAGTAAATGATGACAGGGTTTTTGGGCTGGAACTTAGGGCTGTGAGGAAAGCTGTAGAAGATGTGCTGAGTTGTAATTGGTCCTGATGCGGAAGGCTTTGGCCAGAATGAGGAGTTTTTGCTCATCTAAACAGCATCTATGATCATTAAGTGTTTTGAATATGGGAATAGTCGCAGTTCTCTGCTTCATGAAAGTGATTCAATGGCCACGAAAATGACAGCCTGGCAGAGTGGAACTTGATGGAGAGAAACCCAGCCTAGGTATTGTTTCGATATATACCAGGGGAGAGATAGTAAGGATAGAAATATGGTGAATGTTAAAAACTGTTTAAAAGTAAACTCAATATTATTTAGTACCCAAGATGAGTAAAATGATGGCTGAAAACGGATGCTGAGTACATGAACTTGAGTCAGTCGGAACGTCATGGGACTACTACAGGAAGAAGGAAGTCATGAAGAAGAAACAGGGAACAATGAATTCATAACTTAAATTTGTTGTAAAGAAAAACACTTTTTTAAAATCCAGAGTTGCTACAAAATGAATTTCTTCAAGGAAAACAAGAGAGTTTGGACTTAATGACAGACAAATTCTGGGATGGATGGGAGTCCTATCAATCTTGTTCACTTCGAATGGCATGGGGAGCCAGTCAATGTCTCTGAAACGTGTGTGTGTATGTGTGTGTGTGTTTGTATATGTTACTATAACAACAACTTTATAGATGTAAAGAGTCTGATATTATTCAGAATTATATATGCTCATCTATAAATATACTCAATAATGTATATAATTGTATATTTATTCCATTCCATGAGATTTGTACAGAACAATTGTCTATGTCCATAAGTGTGAGCAATGTAAAAAAGTAAAATATGTGCATATGTAAATACTAATAATTCCTTCTTAAAATATTTCTGATTTTTATACTAAGTCAATAGCGTGGGAATTGAATACTGTTATCCCTGAGAATTATACCTTCTGGCTCTTCAGACTGT